TCAGTGGTTGTTGTTGTTGTTTGCGATCCGGCCTCTGGTTCATGACACTCATTAACTTTTCTATTTTAAAATGATAATCTTATTAACTGATTTTTTTTTTTTTACCTATTTGTGTTTTATTTCTGGTCTAGGACAGAGATAGCAGCTGAGTCTTCCTCCTCTTCAGTGAAATCCACCAGAGATCACCTCCAGCTAAGAAGTCTGTGATGAGTGAACTCTGAACTTTTCCAGGGACCTGTCCCACCTGTGGGAGCAGGTCCAAGAGGTTGTGAGTAATGATGAGGCCAAATACAGCCACAGTGCTAAATTAGCAAAGCTCTACCTCTTTATTCCTGCTACTGTTGTTAGTGAGCGGTTTTATCCACCGCTGGAGATATTCACTGCAACTAGATCTATGGTTTTGGTAGAAAATGTGGACAAGTTGGTCTTTTTGGCCAAAAACTTAAAACTTGACTAGTTAGATTGTAAACAGTCTGTTGCTGCTTATTGTTCTGGTTCTGACTGTTATTGTGTTTATTAAGATTTTTATTATTGTTAGTATAGTTTATTTATTGTAAAGAGTGTCTTTTATCTAAAATATAATCCAAATAGGTCGCTTTTATTTATTTTTATACTAACGTATTAATTACTTGGCATATTTTCAAAATAAACATTTTGTAAGTCTTTATTTTGGCCTTTTTTTGTACCGCAAATTAACTGAACCAAGCCCTCCCTGAAACTGAACCGAACCGAAATGTGATTTTAGCGTACCATTACGCACCTAATATATCCACCCATCCATTTTCTTTACCCGCTTCTTCCATTTTTGGGTCACAGTGTTTGCCGGTGCCCATGTCCAGCAATCACTGTGCGAGGGGCGGGGTACACCCTGGAAAGGTCGCAAGTCCATCACAGGGCCACATAGAGACAAACGAGACAAACAACCATTCACTCTCTCACTCACACCTAGAGATAATTTAGAGTTACCACTCAGCCTAACATGCATGTTTTTGGTCTGTGGGAGGAAACCGGAGTACCCGGAGAAAACCCACGCATGCATAGAGAGAACATGCAAACTTTTTTGGGATTTGTTGACACTGAAATTTTGAATCAACATATTTTTCCTTTAAAATGTTACATTTACTCAGATTAAACTTTTGATCTGTTATCTATGTTATATTACAAATAAAATATTGACATTTGCCCTCTCCACATAAATGCATTCAGTTTTTATTCACAATTTGTTTAGTGTCCCAACTTTTTTGGAATCCGGTTTGTATATATACAGTATACCACAGTATTGAGGGAGTGGTGGCGCAGATGTTAGAGAAGGTGGGCCTGTGATCGGAAGATCGCAGGTTCAAGCCCCAGTACCAACAACATCAAAAATGTGGGTAGGGTAGGTGAAGCACCCACACATGCCCCCACCCTTTGTCGCCCCACTCTGGGCCCTTGAGCAAGGCCCTTAACCCCCACCATCTGCTCCTCCGGGTGTCCTAGATAGCAGCTCTCTGCTCCACACAGAGGGCTGTGGTAGCTCGGTGTCTGTGGTTGTGTCATGAAGGGCATCCGGCGTAAAAGTAACTGCCAAGTCTTCGTATAACTTAGTCCGCTGTGGCGACCCCTAACACAGGGAGCAGCCGAAAGAAGAAGAAGAAGATATACAGTATACTGTAATTTCTGAACTATTGAGAACACCCAAATATAAGCCGCACCCACTACATTTAAAAAATAATAATGATTTTGTACATATATAGGCCGCACTTGTTTATATGTCGTGGATGTCCATGTTGGAATGTTTTGGTAAACGATTTCTCGCCACCAGTCATCCAAGCCTCCCACCGAGCGTCAAGTGTCAATTTAATACACGATTCACACTGATATCGAGTAGCTGTGAATACTTTGTTGTGCCCCCAGGGGCACATGTTCCTCCTCCTCATTCTCTCCTCCAATCCTCGTTTCATTGGTCCACTGTGACCTGTTTGGTAATTTCATCTGTCAGATTTTTTTTTAACCTTTATTTATACAGGTATTCTCATTGAGTCATGAGGAAGAGGTGTGATGATAATGTTTCTCAGATGAACTGTAGAGGTGTGATGGTTATGTTTCTCAGATGAACTGCACAGGTGTGATGATTATGTTTCTCAGATGAACTGTAGAGGTGTGATGAT